TGCCCTTATTTACCCTCCAGCTTCCACCAAATTTATCTGAATATTGGGAAACAGATGACTCATGCTGCCTAGAGACCTACCGCTCATGATCTGGTTAATTGGCCAACAGCTTGTACTGGTGTTTTATTTGCTTTATCTTTATATTTCTTTTAAAATGTTTTTCCTTCTAGAGATGGTACTCTGCCTCAGTGGTAAATTTAACGAGCACACAGCCCAAGGCATAAGCTATTACTGACACAACTGCTAATATGATACTGACATAGCTTACATGTTTATTACATATCACCCTTTATGCTCTCTCACGTGCACACATAGTCCTGATGCTGAGCCATTGGAAATACACCAACTTGCGGGACTGTGTTTTACCAGCAGCTGGTATAGACTGAATTGAACCCATACTGTCTTGCCATACTTCCCCTCGTACTAGCCTAGTTACATTGCATTGCTGAAACTCTATTGCTCTGTCTGCCTCTACATTTTGCCCTTAGTCTAATTTTCCTCTTCTAATCTACATCCTGACTGGTTACATGACTGATGAGCATTAGTCTTAAGCTTTGTCTAAACATACTACCTAGCCTGTTCTTATTTTCTTAAAATGTGCGGATGTCATAAATGTCATATAATGTATTACTGTGTCTGCTTACAATGCCACAATAGCTGAAGTAAGCATTCAAAATAACAAACATGTTAATCTTTCACGTCATAAATAAGGAATAATAAAAAAAAAAACCTTACACCCTCTTGTGTGTCTCTTACAACCCCCTGTCACGTATCCATCCTCTCCATGTGGAGAGTATGTGAAGGTTACCTTCCTGAGACTGGTGGAAGTGCCGCGCGGTGGATTCACGCCATATTATAGCTAGAGATGTCGCGAACTGTCCGCCGAACTGTTCGCGAACTGTCCGCCGACGAACAATAGCGTGTTCGCGTTGGGCGAACATATCCGATTTCCGGTCCGCCAGCAGACACATTCCACCCAATCAGCAGCAGACCCTCCCTCCCAGGAAGTGTCTGCTGACTGTGAGGTTCCGGGTCAAATTTAAACTCAATGATGACGTATAGGGGGCGGACCGGAAATCGGATATGTTCGCCAAACGCGAACACGCTATTGTTCGCCGGCGGACAGTTCGCGAACAGTTCGGCGGACAGTTCGCGACATCTCTAATTATAGCCCTACGTCCGCCCACGGTAATGACTAAGTCGACGTGCGTTTGACAAATAATTAGAAAAATCTGAGCCTTTATCCAGAGGTAGGGGATTCGGATTTTTGCACCCTCCCCACCCCCTTCTGTGCCGCCTTATGGATGTGCCGGCCCATTGTAAGATCATTGCTGATGTCTTTCCTCCTTGGCATTGTGTTAAAACATAGACAAAAAAATGGTATATAGGTCGCGCTGTAGGGACAGAGAGATAATATAAAAAGTGAATAAATAAATATAATAAAAAGTCCCAAATAGTAAATCAACCTGTATGATTCTTGAGTGTATATAGAGTCCAAATGAGTATATGAGACTTCTTGTATTGGAGATATCTTGATTCACTTGTAGATATATGGGTACATGGAAAAGACAAAGAAAAACTCCAATAGTGCAGAATATCGACAAATGGGCAACGTGATC